AACCAATAAATGAGCAGCTACATTTTAGTAAATGTAACTAATGAGGAGTACTGGAGTACTCAGAAGAGCAACTGAAACCTGGATGAGCACAGAAACTCAAGATAGCTCTGCAGTTATTTTTATTTTTAAAGGCTTTTAATGTATTTTAATATCTGTGAGAATTTTCTTCCTCTTCTTTCTCCTCATTGAGAAGAGTTTTCAGGGTTTTAGAGCTATTCTTGCTTGTTCTTTCAAATGAAATTAATAATTAATCTATCCAGGTCCTAGAAAAAAAATGGTGATACTTTTATCTGAATCATGTTACATTTAAAGATTAACCTCGAGAAAATTCACATCTTTGCATTTTTCTTTTAAGTTTTGCTTTTACAAATGTCTTTTTCCCACTTTAAAATTGTATGCTAATATCTCATAGATTTTTCTCTGGTCTCCTCCCATCCTTAACTGCCTACTGAAAGTTTAGACGAAATGTTAAGTTGGAACACTAGTGCTGTAGCATTAGGTAGAGGGAAGAATTTCATAAGATAAAGTGGAGTGACTATAATTTTTCTTATTTTTAAAATAAAAACCATTAAGTAAGAAATATCTATTCAAAAATTATAAAAGCATATGTAGATATTCAGGTTCTCTTCCCAAAGGTAAATTGTTATACTTTTTTCTTTTTCATACTTTATATTGTGATATATATTATCTCCTATATTCCCTTAATAAAACACTAATGGTTTCCTATTATTTCAAGGTATTTCATATCTTTAATCTTTTCCCATTGCTTCCATTATATAGATGTCCCATGATTTATTTAGCTACTCCTTCCCTGATGAACATTTCCCTGAATTCCGTGCAATTAGAAATCTTTTAAAACCATCATTATTAAATCATTAATATTATTTAGGATACAGTCATTTTCAAGTTCTCACAATTTTCATGAAGATATCTTTTTACAGCTTTTTCTTGCCTTTGTTATGTCTAGGAGAAGTTTAATTTTTTTCAGGTTTTAGCTTTTCTTTTGCTTTACTTCTTTTTTATTAAATTCAAGTTTTCTTATATTGTGATTAGACTACATTAACACTATTTCTATTTTTCAAAAGTTCTTGTGGTATGTGGTCTCCATGGGTACTTGAAAACAAAGACCAGCCTGTTTTAGATTTTAGAATATAATGTTACTTAGATCAGGTGTCTCAAAAGATGCCCCTAAATGGGGAAAATGGGACATTGTAGCTAAATGTGACTTTATTTACAAAATATTCATTGCAAAATTTAACAAAAAATTTTGTAAAATAAAGCTGTGGTACATGTATACCATGGAATACTATTCAGCCATTAAAAAAATGGAGACTTAAATGTCTTAACACAACAATTATGAGAAAGACATGATGGCTATGTTAGCCAGTTGGATGAGAGTTTTCCAAACTGCATATGGAAGCAACACACTGTATCCTATGATAGAATTAATGTACACAATTATGATCTAATAAAAATTAAAAAAAAAATGGAGACTTTACAGCATTTGTATTAACCTGGATGGAAGTGGAACACGTTATTCTTAGTAAAGCATCACAAGAATGGAGAAGCATGAATCCTATGTATTTAATTTTGATATGAAGACAATTAATGGCAATTAATGACATGGTGTGGGGTGGGGAAAAGGGAGAGCAGAGAGAAAGAGAGAAGGAGGGAGGGGGGTGGGGGAAAGAGAAAGGGAAGGAGGGTGGGGGGGTGGGGTTTCAGTATGTGACACATCTTGTACCCTGAATGGATACCCAAAAATAAAAAAAAAAAAGGAAAATATCTAAAATATCTAAAATACATTCTCTATGTGTTGGCCATCTCTTCATAAAATATTGTAATAAATATTTTGTACATAAAGGTATAATTTCCCATGTTCCTTATGTATAGTGACTTTAGGGACAACTTTTGGGACACCCTATACATTATTATTTATATTCTTTAGATTTTTTATATCCTTTCACTTTTGATTTCTTTTTTTCTCCTTTTTGTGACTCATTTGTCACTTTTTCCTTTGGCTTGCTAGGATTTTGGATAACAATTTCCTTCCGTAAGTGAACTCATATTGGTGATCCCAAATCTCTGCAGTATCATTTGGTCAGTACTCCCTGTGTGCCAATTAGCTATCTGTTTCCTAATAATGGCATTTTTATAGCTGTTTGTGCATGAAGTAATGTTATTTCTTATGAGGAGAAGGTTTAATGTGGCTAAGTCTTTGGAAACAGCCATACCTTTGGTCTTTAAATAAGTATATTGGTGGCAAATATAGAAACAGCTTAGGGATAATGGTGTACGATGTTGAAGTTACCAAAGGCCAGAACTGAATAGTGTTTCTGATGACAAGGTTGCTTTGTACAGAAATCAATTAAACATTACCTTGTACAAGGGAAACAGCTTGACCATAATGATCAAGGATGAATACAGATGAGAAGAAAAAGAACATGCAGTTAGAAATGAAAATTACTTTTTTTTTTTTTTAGCACATTGTTATTTAAGGTTGAAATCCATAAGAGGAGGCAATTTTATAAGTGGGAGTAGAATCTGGTTTGCTTTAGTCTGGGTTTCATTTCTCTTCTTGACATGGAGACAGAGCACCTTTGCTTTTTTCACTTTAATTAAAGGGTATTAAGGACTGATTCTCTATGGGAACTTCTAAGAATTTCTTGTGGTCCAAGAAAATCACAGTCTGGGAACTCAATCAGGATGCTCTGAACTGCAGGTACTACATGAATTTTCTTTCTCTACCATATTTATTTAAAAAGCCAGGATGAATTAAGGATGCATTTGAAGTAGCTTAAGAATCTCAGATGCTTTGAATACTTAATGACAAAGCTGACTTCTCCTCTCTTCCTTAGATCTGTCTAGGGTGTGGAGGGTTGAACAGGAGGCATCCTGTCACACACAACTTGAAAGTCATGAGAACAAAGCAACATCTTTTCTGTAAACTGGATAGAAGACAGACCAGGTATCAGTATCAGATCTACCACTTATTATTCTAACTTGCTACTCCGTCCCTTTGTTTTGATTTTCCTAAAAGGTAAAAAGGAGCCAATAATACCAACTTTCATGGCTTTTGTAGAAAAAATAGTGAATGTAAAGAAGTACTTGTGGTGTTTTATACATGGCAGCCACTGTTTCTGTTTTGTTTTTGATTATCATTATTTCCTTAGAAAGTTCATTGATCGCTGCTTCAGACTGCAAGAAACTTCCTGACAGTGTTTCAGTAATGTATTGACATAAATCAGACCCATCTTTATAGAACATCATAGAGGCTGATTTCTTTCTGAAGACAGCTCTGGGATCACTCTGGCTCATTGGGTATCTTTTCTGCTTCAAAAATCTCATGATCATACTACTTGCTTAATTTTTTTATATACTATATTTTTTATTATGTAGTATTTCTGTGTGTACAAAATAGGTAGGGAATATTTTAATATTTCAATAAGTCCATAAAGATGATTGTGCATAGCAGGCAGTAATAAATGTTTGTTGATTGATTAAAAATGGTTATGTTGGCTGGGCACCTGTAGCTCAGTGGCTAGGGTGCTGGCCACATAACGCCAGGACTGGAGAGTTCCAACCTGGCCTGCGGCTGCCAAACAACGACAACAACAATAATAACAAAAAAATAGCTGGGCATTGTGGCGGGTGCCCATAGTCCCAGCTACTTGGGAGGCTGACGTAAGAGAATCACTTAAGCTGAAGAATTTGAGGTTACCGTGAGCTGTGATGCCACAGCACTCTACCGAGGGCAACATAGTGAAACTGTCTCAAAAAAAAAAAAGTAAAAATGGTTATGTTACAGGGAAAAGAAAATAATACAGCAGATTTGTAATAATATGCTATTTGAGTCACAAAAGGGATTAGAGAAAAGGGACAGTGATATGAAGAGAGGACCTTCAGTGGGATATGGAACTTATAATCAAGTACAAACAAGGGGAAAATGGTGACTGTGGCAGTGGTGCAATGCACAGAATATCATCATTATGGTGACCTTCATTACATATTGGGCTGGCATTGAATTGTAAAATAACAGAACTGCTAGACTTGCAAGGATTACTTAGCATCATCCAGTTCAGCCCGTTTATTTTACAAATAATCTAACTGAATGCATGAAGTGAGTTGAGTGTGGAAGGGATAGGCGAAACAACTTAAGTTCTCACGGACTCAGGGCTAGGACTTAATCACACCATTCTGATTCTAAGTGCAATGTTCTTTCTACCATTTCATGAAACATGATATGTTGGTGTGGCCAATGATCTGCAAATATCAGTCATGTAGAATCGTGTTTGCTATATCATATTAGCTCTGTTCATGTTCAGATTCCCCAGCATACATCTTCTTTCTGACCTTGTCCTTCTCTACCATATGCTGTCACAGCCCAGGCTTTGTGATTGGCTCCACTCCCCGAGATCCTCTATAAAAGTGGGATACTTCTAGGGTTTCTACATTATTTTCTCTCTTTCAGAGGAAAGGGTGAACATGATTTGATAAAACTGCAATAATGTGAGGCTAAACCTGAGGGAGTATGAATGATGGCAATAGCATTGCATAGAGGTGCAATCAAAGAGGTTAGAAAAACAGAGGTCATTGCAAATCATTTGAGGTTTTGGGAACTCTAGGGGCAGGAGTAACAAACAGTGAGGAAAAACTGATTAGTCCATTTGCATGTCCCCTCCCCCACGTTATTCCAGCACATTCCTAGCTTTCTCATAACACTTTGATTCGGCATTTGTTTTTGCCTAAACTTCTTTTACCAAAACCTATAGAATTTTAGGGAGTCTGGGGAATTAGAAACAGAACTTTGTGGCAATGAGTGATGCCTGTTTTCTGCAACTACAGTTAAAGGGGTTAGTGTACAAATGTTTTGACTCTGTAAAATAAGGCAACATTTTTTGCTTACAATTCGAAACTCTTGCAGCCAGTCAACACTCACAAGGCTTGATCTTATCTTACCTCTCTTTTTTAGGTAATATTAAAGTCAGATTGGCCTTGCAGTGGCAATGGATGGAGCCAACCTCTCTGTGATGTCTGAGTTTGTGTTCCTTGGACTGTCCAATTCATGGGGTATCCAGCTTCTTCTTTTCCTCTTTTCCTCTGTATTCTACGTGGCAAGTTTGGTGGGAAACCTCCTCATTGTGTTCTCTGTGACCTCTGACCCTCACTTACACTCTCCCATGTATTTCCTGCTGGCCAACCTCTCCTTTCTTGACCTGGGAGTTTGCTCTATTGCAGCCCCCAAAATGATTTGTGACCTTTTTAGAAAACGCAAAGCCATCTCTTTTGGGGTGTGTGTAACTCAGATCTTCTTTATTCATGCTATTGGGGGCACAGAAATGGTGCTGCTCATTGCCATGGCCTTTGACAGATATGTGGCCATATGTAAGCCCCTCCACTACTTGACCATTATGAGCCCACGAATGTGCATTTTAATTTTAGCTGCTGCCTGGATCCTTGGCCTCATCCACTCAGTGGCCCAACTGGCTTTTGTCATAGACTTGCCCTTCTGTGGCCCTAATGTATTGGACAGCTTTTACTGTGATCTCCCTCAGCTCATTAAACTTGCCTGCACACAGACCAAAAGACTGGAGTTCATGGTCACAGCCAACAGTGGGCTCATCTCTGTGGGGTCCTTCTTTGTACTGATTGTTTCTTATATTTTCATTCTGGTCAGTGTTCGGAAACACTCCCCAGGTGGTTTATCCAAAGCCCTCTCTACTCTGTCAGCTTATGTCACTGTGGTGGTTTTATTCTTTGGGCCATTAATCTTCTTCTACACCTGGCCCTTCCCCTCCTCACACTTGGATAAATTTCTTGCTATCTTTGATGCAGTCCTCACTCCTTTTCTGAACCCAGTTATCTATACATTTAGGAACAAGGCAATGAAGGCAGCAATGAAGAAACTTTGCCATCAGCTTGTGAGTTTTAGGAAGATGTCCTGAGTATCCTAAGGATAAACAAAAATGTAGCTCTACAGTCAATGACAATGGGAAAAATAAAGTCATTGAAATTTTAGATCTCTGTTTTGTGTACTTGGTTACATTTAGGCACTCACCATGCCATTGTGTGTCTCTAGCACCCTAATCAATGAGGGTGAAGGGAGCTAAGACTGTGGCCTTCTGTGTTTCAGACCCTGTGCTGAATGTTCAATAGAAATTATTTAATATTCATGATAACTCTGTGGTGAGTATTTTTGCTTCAGTGTTAGTTTATAAATTAAGAAATGTTTTCTGCTCGTTCACTTTTTTATTTTTTTTGAGAAGGAGTCTCAAACTGTCACCCTGTGTACAGTGCTGTGGTTTCACAGCTCACAACTACATCAAACTCCGTGAGCTTAAGTGATTTTCTTGCCTCCGCTTCCCAAGTAGCTGGGACTACAGGAGCACAGCACAATTCCTGGCTATGTTTTTTCTTTTTGTTGTTGTTGCTGTAGTTGTCATTGTTCTTTTAGCAGGCAGGCCGGTTAGAACCCAGCAGCCTTGGTGTACCTGGTCGGTGCCGTACACACTGAGCCACAGGCGCTGCCTGCTCATTCACTTTTTAATTATTTTGTAAATGTTTCAAACCAAAGCGGATTGTTACCTTCATCCACAACTTCCACTAGTCTCATCTCTCACTAGGTGCCAGAGAACACGTTCAACAATTCAATGTTGGAAATTAGTGTATTATTCCTTTTCACTGTTACACATTTTCCCTGTTTTGAATTGGTTAACATCCTTTTCTTAAACTACCTATCAAACTGCCATAAAACCTAATTGGTTTGACTTCCCCTTTCACCCTTTTCCTTTGGTGTCTGCTTGCTTCCTGTAACTGTGAACTACTTAGAGAACTGTTGGTTGTATAAAAAAGGTAGAAGAAATCGGCCTGGGTGAACATTTTATAAGGAGGACACCTTGGGCAATTGAAGCAACATCAAAAATACACTATTGGGACCTGATCAAACTAAAGAGCTTCTGCACAGCCAAGAACACAGTAAGTAAGGC